TATTTTTTATCCGATCTAAGATTAATGTTTTTGTGGCAATTAGAAGAAATTGCCTCGGTGGATACTAACATGACATAAGACATTGAGCTCTAAATACGTGGCCAGCACGCCACGCTCACCCCTCGTCTGTATCCCGGTTTCTCTTTATCTTCACCTGAACAACTCAAACCTGGCCGGCAATCACGCCGGCAAACAACCAAAACAAACAGCGGGAGTGTGAGCGATGGTCGGAAAATGCTCCCCGAGGCCCGGTGTGACCTCTGCATGAGGCGGCCTCATGACTGATTGGTGTTTGAGCTCACACACAGACAGCACACTTCCTACTCCTGTGGGCCGGCTAAATGGCTCTATTCTCTCAGTTAAACCCCCATTTCTCTTCTTAGCTCCCTGATTTCTCCCCCCCCCTCCTCTTCCCATTCAGTCTGTCTGGGTTAGAGGGAGGCACCGTGGGAGTATAATTGCCTCGTATTTCCATGAAGCCAAGTTCATTACATTAACAGCTCCGTCCCACGCTGCATACTTCTAACCTGCTGCAATTTGTTTTTGTGTTTATTAGGCTGACAGAGAGGCAGCTTCCCGCTCAGCTGGGGGGGAGAGAGAGAGAGAGAGGGACCGGGTGAGGGAGAAGGTCAGAAGTGGCTCTGCAGGCACAGGCGTCCTTTGTGATGCAGCAGCAGGGCGGACGAAAACATGACAGGCAGGTGCGGACGAGCGATGCGGGGCTCCTCGGCCGCTCTGGCGGGGGTCAGAGACGTGACGCAGTGAAGAAGCGATGTGCCAGGAACCGCCCAGGAACCGACGTGCTTTTAGGGACTATCTGGTGCGCGCGTTCCCTTTGGGAGAGACCGCAAAAACAAAAGTGAATATTGGACTCGCATTTGTCAGGTGGACAAAAGAAAAACCCGGCCAAAGGACATTGTTGTCCTGCGTCTGCTGGATGTGTAAATAGGCAAGTCCTTTATAGGCCATAACTACTTTATAAGGTGATGATAAGTCAATTTTAGCGTTTACAGCTTGTACCGATGCCCCTTATGGCCAGTAAAAAAGAACAACGAGCACCTAATACATTGGATATAAAGTTTAAAAGAATGTGCTTTTGTTTACCTGATAAATAACCAACAGACAGACAATAAGACGGATACATAGATGAAGATAATGTACTTAAATGGTGTAAACAAAATAGCATTTTGTAAGGTTGGTAAACCAGCTGTTATGGGAACCAAAAAACACGAAAGACAGACAGGAAAGCATTAGACAAGATCCCCGTCCTACTTGCTGCTATAATTCCCAGCATTATGTAGAAAGTTATTGCGACACTCTCACACACACACACACACACCCATTCATGAATTCCGCTCTGTTCTGCCCACTATATGCACAGTTCGGACGTTCAGTCCACGACTCGTTCGTTCCTCTTTCTCAAGCCTGGAGTTCCTAGCTTGCCACACAGAGATGCTTGTAAAGCAAAGCACAGCAATTTGAGAATAGGCCCCTAAAAATTGTGTGTGGCAACAGTGTTACGGTAATCAAACGAAAATCCCTTGGTGCAGCGGTTTAGACACAATGTGTACTCTACTGCTGTGCAACCGCTGGGGTGATACTGTCCGAAAACCACCACCTAATCTGAAGCAGCCACACGTGACGGATCGCCTCAAAGCCTCCCAAGAATCATGGAAATAAGAGATAAAGACAAAAATAATGAGCGAGAGGGAGGATAGAGAGTAAAGGATATACAGTAAGAAGCAAGAGGGAGATAACTGTAACCCAACGGAGAGGAGGGAGGAACCCGCTGGCGAGAATGAGTGAGCGTCTCTGAAAGTGGATACGAAGGCGGATGAGCCCCGCCAACCTCCTCTGACCGCATTAACGAAACCTAATGGAACGGCTGGCTCCACAAGGCCTCGTCATCCATTATCTGACTGTTGCCCCGCGCAACCAAATAGGCTCACGGTCTCAGTGGCTGCAGCTCAGTTGTCATACACCATGGTTTGCCATTTTCTTTGTCTTATTTCCAATGGCCTCTAACACAAATAATTGGAAAATGAATTCCCTGGTACGTAAAGGAGTCCTGGTCGAAGTTTTGCCTCCACCAGGCCACAAATCAAATGCAAATCAGCAAAAGAGGAAAAGTTAAGTATGGTCATATTTTGTGTTGAGTCAGCCATTATCTCAGACCCATCATTACCATGTCCTGTTGAGGGATCAACCACAGCTTTATGCTTCAGACTGAATCCTCCAGTTTGTGACAATTAAGTTTTTCAAATTTTGCATTTTTCTGGTATTACCGTGAATTCATAGTAACTCCAACGTTTCAGATGGTGTCTTCCTCGCTGTGTTGGCCAGTCGTCCAATATTAATCATCGTACTGACCCAGGGTGTGCTAAGTAACAAATATAACAATGTCCAAAATAAGAACATATTCCGTGAATACTTTAAAAATTATCATTGAGTGTTTACTGGATGTAAATTTAGTGATACATCTTCATTCGGGGGCGTGGCATACCGGTCAGTGTCATTTTTCACCATATATTTTTAGGAACAGCATCTAGAGAACTAGATTTGTAATGCTAAATAGTACACTGGAAACCAAAAAAGAGGCAGAGGTACAGTTTACTTTATGTTCAGGTGGGGACAAAACAGGGAGATCAAGCAAATAAACCCAGAATGGACACGGAGAAAAATCCTGGTCCAAACGGGAAGGCTGAGTTGGAATGGGTAGATCAGATTCAGAAAATAGAAAACGATCACTGTAACAATCTGGCAGGAACCAAGCGCAGCTGGCCCGATATAAATACTGAGGGACTACAGAGAGAAATGAGCAGCAGGTGAGATAGGCACGGAAAACCGGGTCCGGAGACTGAGGGTTCGTGCTGAGTGGAGGACCTGAATAGACAGCAGAAACCAACAGAACAGATCAAAACAAACTAAAAGGTGGTGCGTTTTGTGACAGGATTCTTTCATGAATAGCAAGAATCAGTGTAGTGGGCGCTTGCGCCGGAAGACATGTACTTACTTGCTCAAAAAGTGTAAAGTAGTGTGAAGCGTGGCCCCTTTTTTTTCCAGCTTCTGCCCACCAACAAGGGGATTATATAGCGGGTGGTATGTTTTAAGGCGTAAACAACTTGCTCCATAGGTCAGGACCACCGTTGTGTGTTCATAGTGGCGCCTGTGTGCAGCCAGAAATCACTCCTTCTTACAGTACATCTCTGGTATCCTTTGATTGCGACCTTGCCGTTGAGCGGTTTGAACACTTCAGTGGGGCCAGTGTTTGAGAAAATGACAGCATCCTCGGAGAATGAGAAGGGGCAATACTCTATGGGGGGGGGCAATTTACATAGGCATCCTACACAGAAATTGCTTACTTACTGCTAGGTAGATAATCTCTCGTTAATCCGCCGTACGAAACACACACTGACTGCACCTTTTGTGTGGTTGCACAGAGAAAGTGTTTTTCTGTGGCCAGGGGTCCGGGAGCAAAGGCTGGTCTGATTCAGGACATTCCCAGGAGCCCTGGTAAGAAATGAGGACACGGAACAGCTCATGCATTGTCTCTGTGTGTGTGTGTGTGTGTGCGTGCTCTTGAGTCTACACTCTAGCGCGCACACAGTCGTGTTTGGATTATTTTATTTTTTTAGATGAAACAACATCAGGTAAAAAAAAAAGTGCCCTTTTTGCTAAGCTGGTGACGATCCTGGGATAATAGGGTGTGTTACAAATTTTGAGGAATCACATTCACGTGACTTTCGGCGGCCATCCGCACAAGAGCGTTTTTCCCTTGAAACAATTGTTCTCTTTTACTGTTGTCTTCACCGGTGTGTTTTTCCTTCAGCCAGACTGCCGATCATGTGAGCGCATCTCCAAATGATCATTTCTCCCCGTAATGTGTAATCATTACAATGAGCTTCACCGTCCACACCAAATTGGTTTTGTGTTTTGTTTGCTGCCTGCCCTGTCTCACCGGCCCGTGCATGGATTACTCATACAAAAGGAAATAATGACGCCAAGGTCCATTAAGTGGGATGGTAGGACATCATATCAGCATTAATCTTCCACTTAGCAGAGCGGCCTCAGGAGGGGGAGACGGGGAGAGGAGAGAGAGCGAGAACAGGATTTTGAACTCCAACTGGTTGCAGGCTTTTCATTTGTATTGGTGTTCTTTAATGAAATACAACTTTAATGATAGCTCTCGTTACATAGTTAAAGGATTTAATATATCTAAGTGTATTTTCAAATATTTGACTACATAAGAAGATGCATATAAATGTCCAGATATGTCTTTTCAACAAATGTCAACGCATAGCAGAATAATCCACACAGAGACAGATATGAAGTTTACCAAATCTGGAATGTTAAACTGATATTTTCTCTTGTTTGAAATAAATAAGTTGTTAAGCATTACAAATGTTGTTATGTTTCATACAATCACCAAGTCAAAGCTCTGACTATTTCGAGGGGCTTTTAAGTCTGTTAATAAAAAGACTGATTGACCAGCGGTTGTCTTGGTATTGTGGATGTTACCTGTGCTCTTGACTCCCACTGGAAGCAGCGGGCCGTGTCAGGTCAAGTCTTAACAACCTGCTAATTCAAGGGGCGTCCATGAAATGTGATATCAATTATTTTTCAAACAAACATTATTATAACTTAATTAAAGGCCCTTTGTGTAAGATGCTGTAGTGGACAACAGTCGTGCCCTGAACAGGAAAATAGAAAAACAAATGCTTTTTTACAAAAAGCAGGTGTCCAGCGGCATCTAGCGTCAGTGAATAACATAACACCTCCTTTCGGTTATAGCTGCCCTGGATGACTCCTGAAGGACCGTTGATTCAACACAACTCAAATGTTTAAATACTTATAGAATAAATGACATACATAAACACGTATTTTTCTTAAACACACAGACAGACAATATTATTTTTCTCCATTTTCAGGAGGAAACAAGGACGTCGGATTTGTCCCAGTGGATGCGCAGAGTATAGCAGCTGGTCGCTATTCGCCTGACCAGAATGATCTGTCATACGCTCCGGTCGAGCATAGTGGTTGGTAAGCTAGCTAGCTAGCTAAAGCTAAACAAGGGTCCCTGCCTGTCAGTAGTCGAACGCAGCGACAGCTGAACATATTATTCCAACCCTAGCTGTTCGCACAACAAAATCGCCACAATGTTTGAGGAGGCCAGTGAAGTCTTCGATAACATGTTTAAGTCCTCGTTCCCCTTAACCTTCATTGTGTTTATCCCCGCGGTGTTGATCCTGGTGTCGCCGCTCCCGGCCGAGGCGGCGCACGAGTTTACGGTGTACCGCATGCAGCAGTACGACCTGCAGGGTCAGCCCTACGGTGAGTCCGCTGTTTCCCCATGTTGTGTATTACGCGAAACTTAAGCGATCTCCAACGTCAAACTCGTAGCTTTCAGGAGCTGACCGTAAGCAACAGTTCAGTGCAGGTTCGGAGCAGCAGCAGCTAGCTTGGTGCTAATGTAGCTTAGCCTTGCTAGTAACGAGAGACAAGCTAACGTAAGTTAGCTCATTCATTTGGAGACAGTTTGGATCCTTAATGTTACTTAAAATGATATCTGAACATCCTTCCCACGTGTACTCACTAACGCATTCCAATTTACGACTCTTCACTCTAATACATTAATACGTTAGCAACATTACAAACAAACCTCTGTCTTAATTTCCAACCGCAACAGCATTTTCAAAGCAGAAGTCGTAATGGCTATTTGTGTGTCACCTGTTTGAGGAGGATTCATGAAGGTTACCAGCCTTGACAAAAGGGATCAACCAAGCCACAGCTCCTTGGTTAAAGTGCGTGTCTACAGAATGGATCAGAACCAGAACCATTCTGACCATTCCAACTCAACACAGTGGCTTTTCAGCTTAACAGCTTTTTCACGTGACATGAAGTCAAGAGTTACTGTTTCATATTAATGTCTATCGTGTCCCCCCCCCTCAGGTACCAGGAATGCCATCCTGAACACGGAGGCTCGTACTGTGGAAGCAGAGGTACTAAGTCGTCGTTGTGTTATCATGCGACTGGCAGAGTTCTCCTATGAGGAGTACCAGAAGGCTCTGCGCCAGTCGGCAGGAGCTGTGGTCATCATCCTGCCCAAGAACATGTCTGCTATGCCCCAGGACATAGTACAGGTGAGGACGCTGAAATGAATGTCTCGTGTGTCCCTGTCCCTTCGCCGTTTCCACTTCGTAAAGTCAAATGCAAAGGAGAGCGTTGGTGCAACATTCATTCGAAAGTGGGCTACAATTTAGGGCGCAACAAGAAGGAATATTGCGTGTATTGTTATCACACTCTATGCTCGGTACAAGTAATGAGTAGCATTCCTAATTTCTCAAGAAAATCCTAACAGAGGCGAGCAGTGTCCAAATGCATCGTTTGGATTACATCACCATCATGTGCACTATATTTTAAGCTTTTTACTTAACTTGCCCGAGCTCAGTGGGACTCAAAAACAAAGAAAAGGGTTTAGAAGGTTTCACAGAGGTTAGATGTTATCCTACAAAAACCCACAGCTTAGTTTTATGAGCGAGATTATTAGATTAGTCCTTCTGGAGAGCACAAGTAGTGGGCACTTTATGAGTTATCCATTTCGTTACGTAACTAATTTCAATTTTTGGTGAGTGATTATAGTAACAAAAGGTTATTTTGTAATGCCGCTCCTCTCCTGCTTCCTAGTGAGGCTGTCCCAAAATGTGTGCTGTGTTTTTAACTTGCAGAGTTTAATGAATTAAATACTAAACTCCCTTTTTATGTTTGGATCCATCAGCATCTTGCGCTAACAAACTGAGCTGTGTGCCGCGTCTTGTTAAAACGCGCTGGTCTCCCCTGTTTTATCATGTGCAGCAGTTCATGGAGCTGGAGCCGGAGATGTTGGCCACGGAGACCATCGTCCCCGTCTACTTTGCCATGGAGGACGATGAGCTGCTGTCCATCTACACCCAGACCCTGACCTCCTCTTCCTCACAGGGCTCGTTATCAGCAGCAGAAGGTATTTGTTTGCTCTAGATCGGACCTGCTGTCGGGTTCAATGTCTCTTCCCATGTCTGCATTTTACACATTTATAATGAAATGGGCATCTTATGATTCCACGATTGGCAAGTTGGAGAATTCTAATGCTGTGTTGGATTTTGTAGTGCTGCTGCATACGGCCACAGCCAACGGCTTCCAGATGGTAACCAGTGGAGCGCAGAGTAAAGCTGTCAGCGACTGGGCCATCACCAGTCTAGAGGTGAGACACTTCAACATAATCTCTACTCTAATCTAACTTTCCCACGAGCCAATCTTTGCAAAGAAGAATATCAGTATTTGTAACTTCAGTCACATTATATTCTTAATAATTGATATAATAATAATAAAAGATTTCTTTTATAGAATCGACCCAAAATGTCAAACTGAAGTACCTGGATTTTCTGTACAGATAAATAAACCTCAGGAGCACCAGCCAGGGTTGCTTGTTACAGTCTTGGTTGTCAGGACTGTTGAATCGCAGATAGAATTACCTGTATTCCTTTCCTTGTATTTCCTGTGAGTATAACTGAAAGCTCCAACGCTAAACAAGGATTATTAATACTTTTCATGTGAATGTTCTTCTGGAATTGATTACCACAATATTTCTGTCCGTTCTTTTCACAATTCCGTGGTTTTTGGATGGCGTTGATCATTGTCTCAAGTTGATTATCTCTGCAGGACACATAGTTTAAGTCAATGAAATTGCACTTTCTTGTTTCTTGCTCTTCTGAGTTTGTATCCCTATGGTTGAAAGCACTTATTGTAAGTCGCTTTGGATAAAGCGTCAGCTAAATTACATGTAATGTAAAAACCCTATGAGGTCGAATGCGACTGTAACCTGCAGCAGCTGTGCTACCAGCCTGTTTAATCAGCAGGATGCCATTGGTTCAGCTGAAGCACATGATCTAGATAATGTGATTGGTTTTATTTTTTCTTCATGTCATCTAATGGCGCCCTTTCTTTATTGTCCAGGGTCGTCTGGCCGGAGTCGGAGGAGAAGACCTGCCGACTATCGTGGTGGTCGCCCACTACGACTCTTTTGGAATCGCTCCTGTATGTTCACAGCTCCTGTTTCCCTTAGTAAATAACTGTTTTCTAAGACAAACTGTAATGCAACACAACCGGAGGGTAAACCAACGTTTGTGTGTTTCCAGTGGCTGTCGTACGGAGCGGACTCAAACGGCAGCGGGGTGTCCATGTTGCTGGAGCTGGCTCGTCTCTTTTCAAAACTTTACACCTACAAGAGGACACACGCTGGGTGAGTGACGAGGACGGCGCTCCCATTCATGTCGTCATTAGCTTTTAAAGCTCTAAAAGGATTGGACGGAGGGGAGACAGAAGAAATAGTGGCTGGAAGTCCCTCCGCCCTTTATGTAAAAAAAAAAAAATATCTATATATATTTACAAACACTTTTAGTTGCATTAAAAAAAAGCTTTGTCTATTATAAAGTCATGTTAAAGACCGCCCCCCCCCCTGGACTATGCTGCGCTCTCATTTTATGCATTATGTATGAAACGGTCAAAGTGGTATTGAGTGCTGACCTCAGTGGTCCATCTGAGCGTAAGATCAAATCTTTTTTTATTCCCTCACATTTGTCCGGGTTAGAGTCCTACTTCAAATGCTTTTTGAGAACTATCCCGAACATCCTCGGTGCACTCTGCCGGCCGTAAGAACCACAGCCAACTGGTAAACACTTAAAAGCGGTCAATAAGATGGCGCAGACTGATTCTTATGTCAAAATGTGCCCAGCAGTAGCTGAGTGGAAGGACTTCTGACAGAGTGGTCTGTGAAGGACTAATGGACTTAACTGTCTTACTGGCGTGTGGCAGAAGTTGAAAGTCAGCACCATCCACTTGATTCGTCCATCATTTATATGTATCATCGTTATTGTCATTTGCCTTTTTGTTAACTCTAATCTTAATAGCTATTCATTGATTTATCATCACGCATCCATCAGGAAATTTCCCTCCTTAGATTTGACCGGCGTGTGAATCATGTTGTGTGCGCAGGTACAACCTGCTGTTCTTTGTATCTGGGGGGGGGAAGTTCAACTACCAGGGGACCAAGCGTTGGCTGGAGGACAATCTGGACCATACAGGTACTCGTGTTCTTACAATTTGGTTCTGTATGCAATTTGTTTGGGCTATGATTCTATTCTAATACCCACAATCTGGACAAAGAATTATTTTTTTTATAAGTCACTACATTCAACATTTGGTTATTGATGTTTTAATGTTTTTACCCCCTCCTGTTTTTGAATTCACATATTCCATTGTTTTCCCTCTCCCGATAGACTCCAGTCTGCTGCAGGACAACGTAGCCTTTGTCTTGTGTCTGGACACTCTGGGGAACGGAGACTCTCTGCATCTCCACGTGTCCAAACCTCCTAAAGAAGGATCTCCTCAGTTTTCTCTACTTAAAGAACTGGAGCTGGTAAGAACCTCGCGGCTTGATGCACCTTAGTCTGATTATTTTCATTTATGTCATCGTCAAATCTAGTTTAGCTCTATTTATCTGACTCGACCCGTGTCGTGAATTAGATTCTAGTTGATCATTTGGAACTACATTTCCTCTCAGGTGGCCGCCAGTCAGTACCCGGAGGTCAAGTTCTCCATGGTCCACAAGAAAATCAACCTGGCCGACGACATGCTGGCCTGGGAGCACGAGCGCTTCGGGATCCGCCGCCTGCCGGCCTTCACGTTGTCCCACCTGCCCTCCCACCGCCTGGCTCAGCGCTTCAGCATCATGGACGTGCGGTCAGTGTCCCCCTCCTCTCGCCACGGAGCGGGAGAGCCCCCTGCTGGGTGGGTTCACTACTGCGAGTCTCCGAATCACCCCAGAGAAAAGCGTTTCCATCCCAGCTTCATGTCATAGGCCCATTCCACCCCCCCCCCATCTTTACCCCCCAGTCCCCTGGATACACCTTCACCGAAAGACCGCTGTGAGGGTGCAGCCAGTGCATATTTGACATCATTCGTGACCGTATTTATGCACTTCTGTTAGATGTGGAATGAGAGAGTGAGGTTGTTTAAGCTTGGCTGTGACATCTTTTGTATGGTCCTCTCCTGTCCCACCCTGTCCCCTCCTGTCCCCTCCTGTCCCCTCCTGGCTGTTAGTAAACCATTAATCGGTTAAGTGTTACAATTTGAAACTTGACCCCTTTCCGGTCGGTTTATTTGATGTTCACTCTTTCTTCTCTCAAACTCTTAGCGTATCGGCTGCCCTGGGTTATAATGGATGCTCTTTGATTGGTGCCCCCCCCTCACTCCCCTTTCTTTGGCTCACCTTCTTGTCTTCTTTCCACCATCTCTTAACTGCGTGCACCCGTGTTACTGTGTTTTTACAGGCCTCATGTAGATGTGAAGAAGCTCAGCAGGAACACCAAGCTGGTAGCCGAGGCGCTGGCTCGGGTCATCTACAACCTCACAGAAAAGGTAAACGCGCAGACGGAGGAGATGATGCGGCTCCAGAGTCTCCCTCCTTCCCGCCTGGGATTTGACATTTCTGCTGTTGTGTGCACCGTTCTTCACAGGGGGCTCCCGGGGACCTGCAGATCTTCACTGAACAGATGGTGAGTCACACAACTGCAAGTCAGGGGGGGAGGAAAGAATTTGCGCGAGGACACCGAGCCGTCCATCGCGGACGCTGACATGGCGTACGCCTCGTGTTGTAATGCGGTTTGTGCGACGCGTTGCGTCAGCAGGTGCAGGACGAGCAGCAGTCGGCGGTGGTGGACTGGCTCACGGCGCAGCCCCGAGCCGCTCAGCTGGTGGACAAAGACAGCAGCGTGGTGTCCACTCTGGAGTATCACCTCGGACACTACCTCAAGGACGTGAAGAGACACTACGTCAAAGCTGACAAAAGGTAGAGACGGGCGACGGGGAAGGTCATTGTTCCTTTTAAAGAGTGAGCACACAGATCCAGTAGTTGGTAAATACATGAGTTAATCTTCCCTCTATTGATTGAATTAGTAGGCTGTCATCACAGCCGGTGTAACACAGTCTAAATATTCCAGTATTTTATTGGAAATTGGACCACCAATTCTTTAAAACAAAAGTATCAAAAGTACCAGCGTCATGAATGAATCGCCACAAATGAAATATGCTTGAAATATTGGTTTCAAGTCTTTCTCTGTTTTGTCCTCAGGGATCCAGAGTTTGTTTTCTACGACCAGCTGAAGCAGACTATGAACGCGTACAGGTAACGAGCTCCTCACCTCATACCTTCATAACTCTGTCCCCAAGGCTTCACTTAGTTTCACACTTTTCTTTTTGTCCATTAAAATACACCATGACATTATGTCAAAGAGGATTTGGTGCGGTTTCCCTTTTTGATAATCGCCCCTGTATCTCGCTCACTCTCGTCCCCTCTCAGAGTGAAGCCGGCTATTTTTGACTTGCTGCTGGCGGTGTGCATCGCAGCCTACTTGGGAATGATGTATCTGGCTATCCAGGTAAGTCACTGAGCTCCCCCAGCACGCGGCGTTCTCTTCCAGCCTCTAACCAATGTTTCACAATAATGATGTATCAGCTCATTGCTTTTCACGGCGGTGGAGCATTTGGGCGCTAGAGAGTCAGATCTTTCCTCTTGAGCAGTCGGCGGAGATCAATACGGACAAGTTGACGTTGACGAGCGCCCACGGTTCCGCGTCGACGTTGTTGATATTCCATGTGCGTAAAAGGTCTGCGATTAAAATGATAATGAACTCTCGTCATGCTCTTTTTCTGCAGAACTTTGGAGTCTTCTACAGTGTTGTACGCAGAGTCACCCAACCCAAGACGAAGGCTAACTAAAGAAGCATGAGGGGTTTTTTTGTTTAGTTTTTTTTCTACCCCGATCCCTCATTTTCTTTTCACAAATCAAGGAACTTTTAGCAGTGGGAACGCAGCTGCTGTTCTCGTTATGCTTTTCAAAGCCAGCAGAATCGCTTCCATCTCCTTCATCCTGATCCACAGACTCTGATGTCAGATCCTGTCCTGCTGTCAACTTAATCCATGTGGTCTCACGGACCAGAATAATCAGGAATCATTTTTTATCAATCTCCCTGTCGTCACGGACAGCGATGTCTCGTCATTCATTAGTAAGGATCCCTGCGCCGGACATATATTTCATTAGTTCACTCTTGTGCGGGACTTGGAAGCATTTGTCAACAACTGTGAGATCTAGATGAGATGAGTTGTATGATGTACGAGGGTTCGCTCTGCCAAACCGATGTCATGTGTCGTCTCAGGCAGCTACAGGGAGAAACCGACCAGGCAGAGTTGAGCCAAGAATTTCTTTAGTCAGCAGATCTGCTCACCCTACCTGGTTGCCATGGAGAAGTTTGAATTTGAATACTCAAATTTTCATAAAGACGTTCAAATAGGTAATTGTATTTGGTTGTTTCTTAGCGTACCGACTTCCTCTTAAATCCACAGTCTGTAACAACACCTTCTAATGTGCAGAAAGACATTAACAGTTAACAAGATACAAAGTCCTCCATGTGTCCCTGTCCCGCCCCCACTGCTCATCGAGGAAACGCCGTCAGCGATGCCGCTCAAAGGGAAACTCTAAAAAAAAGCCATTCAACATTACTTGGCAAATGACTTACTGTGAATCGGCATCGAGACGGACTTGGACAGATTAACATAGATTTTATGGATAAAGTAATTTAAACATTACATCATCCTCATTCAATCGCCTTGGTAGTTTATTAAAAGAAACATTAAATTGAATTAAATATTTGCCAGATTATTATTGTATTAGTCTCCTAATCATGTTAAATTTATAACCATATAGAAGTCTACACAGATTACACCTTTTTAAGATTTCCCTTTTTGTGCCACATTTTCTGTAGATGAGGTTTTTTTCTGTTGGTGTGTGAAATACGTTTTTTTGTTGTTGTTTTTTTACATGAATGGATAAAACAAATGCTGATGGTTGACTTACCTTAAAACTCATGTCAAAAGGTCATGTTTGTCTAATCAAAGCACAGGTGTGTGTTAAGTGTGTCCGATTACCTATCAACACATGAGATAAGACTCCACCCCGTTACACCCTTTTATCAGTGGAAAACATGTTTTGTTGAATGTGACCTTTTGCTGCCTGCAGCAATAATGTGATTTGACATTTATCTGATATATTTTTTGAAGCCATGTCAAGATGCTGGTCCAGCACTGCAGTGTTTGTACACTGGACGTCTTAATGGGCAATAACACAAAAGGTGCGTCGGATTAGATGGGGACGTACATCTTGAGCGCACCGAGATTCTTAATTTCGTGAGATGTTGGTGTCTGTAAAATGAGTTCTGCAGTGTTTCCTTGAACTTTTCTCTGCCATAGTCTTCTTGTGGGTGAACGTTGTGTTTTTGCCTTTCGATATTTCCCACTTTTTACTGCATGACCAGTGTCCTGCCCCCTTTTTTTCCCCTGTTTTTATATTACCAACGTGAGGGAAATACTGTGTGGTACATGAGAATTTTTAATTTATTGAAGCTAGATTTCATTTATGCACTGAACTCTCCTCTGGTCTGATCTCTATTTGGCCTCATCCACAACACGATCTTTGCAATGAAAAGGACATCAGTTGTGATTTAAAAAATAAAAAAAAATAAAATCACAAGGAAAACGACTTTTATTTACTGACATGTTTGGTTTTATTTTATGGGAAAAAATGAAACTATAACATTGGCTGAATGGTATTAAAATAGCATTTCAAAAGAGAAAGGTCTTCAATCAGGTGGTCCGATTCAGAAAGCAATCAATAACAAAGTTGTCAACTTGTGCCAATTACAATGATTCAATAATCCAGCAAATATGTCACAAAATCCACTTTAACATGTTTTAGTTCAATTTCTCCTCTGCAGAAAGTCATAAAAATTCCCAAATTCTCCCTTTTCCCTTTTCTAATTTCCTAGTGAACAATAATATTAATAAATTACAGTGCAATTTAGAAGAAATACCAGCAGGGCCTTTTCAGCCCGTCACTCTACCAGCGCTCCTACGTGCTCGTCACCAGCTCCCACAAACACTTCTAGTAATTTGGATGGACATTTTGGCACAATCAAAGCACTCAATGAAAATACTTTGTGTCATAATGGAGGCGAAGCCTGCGAGTCATATTCAGAACAGAACACCCAACGCATGGCCGGTGATGCTCAGTTTGCAAACACTTCTCACCGCTGACAAAGTCCAAAATGTGGTTGGGACGTTCTTGCACGCTTTGAGGCCGACTACTTCTATCGTCTCCCCCACCTAAAGTTTGAAAATAAAGGATTGACGAGATCAGACTCGTCCACTCTGAGCTGCGGCGGCTCCCTTGTGCCCTGATCGCTTTGTCGTCACTCCCTGGTCTCCTCTCGGCTGACGTTAGTTCATTCAAATGGAAAAGGGAGGCGGTCAGACGCTGGACACCAGGTATCGACTGTGCGCCAACAAGTTGTCCGACTGAACTGAGCTTCACGGGGCGACGTCTTTCCAACATTTTGGACGTTTAAATAAGAATCCGCTAAATAAATACAAAGATTTCAATTTCAGATTTGTCTGCATAGCAGTTAGGGTTGTGCGACACGGTTACAATGTAATTCACATGTGTCGGATTTATAACGTGTTTTATCGATTCCTATCTAATCCACACCTGGTGGTTGCTGCGGCTGCTTTTGGCGAATCCATCAAAGTAAATGACTAATTACAAAATCCAATTATCCATACAACCCCTTGTGGATTTTTAGGGAAAATAAATACTGTATTATGCTGTTATTTCGTCACATCGCCCGCCCCTCGAAGGTGCTCGTCCAACACATCCCAGGACTATGCAGCACAGCAGCGTGACACAGTTGGGCAGAGATGGAAAGGTGCTGGTTTCGCACACAGAACCGTACCAGACTAGAGGTATGAGTCGCATCGAATCCTAATCACAGGTCTTTGTGGGTTTACTGCAGACTTTGCTCCTGTCATCCGACACCAAATCATCGTCTCATCTAGCCGAGCCGTCGAGACCTCAGAGGTCTCCTCGTGCCAGAACACCGATGTCTGATCCGTTACACACAGCAACCGTGTTCCTCTTCAGCGCTGCTGCGTCTTGACCAGCAAAATGAAGGTGAGCCTGAATTCAGACTAAAGGGAAGAGAGTTGAGACCAAAGCCGGATGTTTGTAATGTAGAGGAACAAAAACACACTTTCCGACTTGTATACAGCAGGAAAAAAACAAGACTGGAATACCAACAGTGTTCTCAGAGAAAAAAAGACAGCAGCAATTCCAAAAAAGAAAACAAAATATCAACGATGATAATCTAAAATACAGCAATAAAAGTGAAAGTTTGATATAAAATTAAAAGTTATTTGTAACTCCCCTCATGTGCGGATTTGGGGATCGTGGAAGACAAACAGATTAAAACTAAAGCAGCGCGACATCTGCGGCCCGCTCCAGCAGCACAAGCATGCTGTTCATCCAAACACAGCTTGAAGTTGATCGAGAAGATAGGAAGAATAGAAATATCCCCTTTTTTATACAGGTGCAACAGATGTTTCCACTAACACACACACACACAAATGAGTTGGATCCAGAGTAACTCCTGGATTGAAGGGAAAACACCTTTTGCTGTAGTCTAATTTGAATGTTTTGGAATTACAGATATCCCGATGAGCGGGATTTCCAGAGATAACGAGATAATCTGATCTTTTAATGCGTGTCTGAAGTACATCTTAAAATGGACACGTCTAAATGCCACGGAGATTGTATCTCACACTGGTTTGTGTGTGTGTGCGTGTCAGCCAACGTTATGTGTGTTCAGTGGTTACTGCTGCTTCAAAAAAATAGTTCATCATGATTTTTAGACATTAATAAAGACATTATGATTACATTGCTAGAGGATTTTTTTTCTTCTTCATTGCTTGGAGGACAAATTCATAGCATATTTCCAAAATCATTCAATGTCATGCAATCCTGAATATCACAATGTGTGCATACATTATTATTTTTTCCATACGACTGATCTTTATCTTTACACAAGTCCTGGGCTATTGTTCCAATTGTCTACGAACCCGATAGCCGCCAACACACGCAAAATGGTTATAAATGTTAATCAAACCCATATTATTTCAACGAATCAAGTAATGAGGATGATACTGAAACCCAGTCAATCAATTTCAGCTATTTGCTGTCATCAAACCAGCAACCAGCTTGTACGCCTTCATGTCAGTGCAGCAACAGATGCTTTGCAAACACACGTAGGAAAAGACAGAATAATAGGAATAAAACGCTTTTTCCCTACAATTAAATATTTTCAATGCCTCTTGATCATCAGTACAAGATAACATTTAAAGATAACATGTAAAAAAAAAAACTAAAAAAAAACTAAGAGGTGAAATGTTGTGACGGATTTTAAAGATCCAGCTACATCCATCCTGAAACACCTAACACACACATTCCTACACACACCAATGTGGCTTTTCGATTCATACTAATGGACGCCAGAGCTGTGTGGTCACCGCCACTCATTTGTGCAATGATATGAAAATCAATACGTGTGGTAAAACGGCAGCTTGTAGTGCCAGAGATGCCTCTTCGCAGCCGTGGGAAAGGATACTGAGAATGCTGACAACGCAACGGTTCCCTTTTGAATCATGATTTTTCTTTTTTTTGCCGTTTCTCCTGCGGTGGTTTAAAGGAGACAAGGAATTCGTCAAACAACTAGCACACAACTGCTTGTTTACCAGGTCGCTAAAGGTTACTATGGGTCTAAAATGTCTACAGAACCCGGACAGGCCTTTAAAAGGCTCCGTGTCTGGGCACAGCAGTGCTGCTCACGGCCAGGACGCCCCTCTACTACCGTACGAGAAAATCACAGTCCAACTCAAAAATCCAAACTGGTTTCTCTTCCTACGGAATCTATCAAAATTTAAAGTTTGCAACAATAAGACCAAAAGAAAAGTCACCTGAAATAACATTCACAGCGCTCTAATAAAAACAAAAACGAAATGACAGTGATGAAATAAAATGTTCTAAGACAAATGGAAAAAAGAGTAAAAACCCATTGCAACCCCACTTTCTATTTTCCTCCCTTTTTTCTTTCCGTGACACTCTCGCCTGCAGCCACGTTGTTTTTTTTTTTAAACGTGAGCCGCCCAACGAGGGCGTCTGGTCCTGCACTTGTAGCCCAGTGCCAGGTGGTGGCGACGGAGAGCCTGTTATAGGCGCTTCTCTTTGGTGACCCCATTCTGCACCGGCTTCCTGGGAGGAGAGAGAGATAGAGAGACACACGAGGGAGAGTCAACGAACTGAGAGAGCGAAGCACAGGACAGGAGAATAAGCCTGTCAGGTAAGGTGATCGAGTGGGAGGCATTTAGCACGAAGAGAGGATATCAGCAGTAGTCAAGGCCGGGCAGATAAGGAGTGCCACATAATCACTCCCATGATCACATCTCCATATGGCCCTCGGGCTCTTTGATCCTATCTACCAGGGAGCACCGCTAGTTCATCTAGCTCAGGGGGAGATCTGCTCTTTCCAGAAGAGCGTCTGGTTGGGTCGTGGGTTCGTTGGGATTGCTCGGCGACACGGCGGAGAGCACAGCGTGGTTCTCTTTCCGTGAACGCGGGAGTCGATTGTATCGACGTTTTCAGAGTGTCAGGGGTCAAAGGCTGCCACAATAATCAGCAGCAGATGACAGAGCTACACATGACGGCCGGGAGGGTAAAGGCAGCTCGCCAGATAAAGACGGATGAACCAGGAAGTTCAGATAAAGGCACGAACCGATATACTTTGGCTTTAGTCACGTTGACAAATTCTTGTTAGCTCACTATCGCTCCAGGTGTTGAGTCTGCATTCTTACATCAGAGGAGATTGTGATGCGTTTAAAAAAGGACACAGAGAGTCCTTTAATGCTATGCTATGTATAGCATCTTACAGCATGGAAGTATGTAAGTGGTAACAAAGTCATCACATTACCATTGATAGTCAATTCCTGAAGGAATGCCATGACTCCTGCTTGTATTCTTGTTTCCTCAGAATACACCTGTCTAAAAGGCTAAAATGTTTGTTTTTCAATATCCCAGTCCTCTGTCCGGTGGCATTACAAGCAACGCTGACGTAAAAGTCTGCACTGTATGAGGTCTTCACTTTACAGTGGCTCAAGTCTTTCAAGTAAAGATTCATTGATGTGGAAGTTCCACAAATGGAACCGTAAACCAGAGGTTTGGTTTCAAACTCAACATTTACAGTAAAAAAAACCTGCCATCTGGTGTTATAAATCCCCTCGGAGCCTCGGCCTCTGGCAGATTAAAAGACAAGGTGCAATGCAGTTAGCTCACCCCTGGGCAGAGATGTGATGTCCAGCATCCCCATCGCTGTTTTCTGCCCGAGGTTCTCTGTGCAGTCCGGATGCCGCCTTGCTGCCGTCCTCGTCCTCGTACTCCCTGACGTCGTTCACCTCTTTCATCTTTAGCACTTTCACTACAAAAACCACAATGAACTACACAAGACAGGGGAGAAGGGACAAGAAACACACAGATGATTTCATTGCAGTCAACACAAACACTCGACTCGAAATAATACATTACTTCTGGGTTTGAACTGATAAACCCGTGTGTGCCTACCAAGAACCAGTAGATGTTCATGAGCAGCAGAGCCAGGAGGAGCGTGTTGAAGAAGAAGTAGAAGGGGATGTTGGGGACGGACTGAAGGCTGGACACACATGTGGCGTACAGCACTTTAAGAGGGAACCAGTACAGACGGAACCAGAACCTGAGAGAACACGATAGAAAGCAGAGATTGAAATGCATGTTCGAGCTATCTTCAGTATCTCCAGGAGCGACAGACAAATAATAATAATAATAACAGTGGGTGGGGGGAGAGTGTTTGTTGAGCCTCACCAGGTGATGCTGAAGCTGACGGAGCCCATGTTGGACAGCACGTCGTTGAGCAGGTGATAGCCTCCACCTCGGGACTTCATGTAGATGTTGAGCTTGGTGAACTCCAGCTGGATGTCGTTGATGTCGTGGAGGAACAACACCAGGATCCCCACGTTGTGGTATCTGCGGGGCGGTTTCATTTGACGATTTCATTTTATTCAAGTACAAAAAGCTAAATCTTTTCTAAAAATAAGTATGATTTTGTTTAGGGATTAATTTCAGGGGCTCTTTGGGTTGCATGTTGATGGCCCTACAATGACCACTGTTCCATCCGTCTCAGGAAATACTCATCGCATCAGTCCCGTGGCTTAATGTGATAATCCGACATAAAGTGATCGCTAGGACACGATTAGAAGAGTCAGAAGAATTGACGAATTGAACGAGTACCTGAAGGCGTAGGAGAAGCTGATGAGTGCTAGCGTGATGATGTGGTGCACCACCATTACGGCCGAGTCCTTCCTCCACGCGTCCATGTAGACTGTAGCGTAGATGGAGTGACCGTAGAAGCTGCCCTGGATCAGGTAGGCTATGGCGATGTCTGCAGGCACTGACATGCCGCTCTGCCAGTCTGGAGGTAGCAGGCGGGAAGGAGAGACAACAGAGTTACAGGCCGATTAAGGATCGCTGCTTTTTCTCCATTTCACTATTAGGTCTGTCGAAACTTTAATCAAACATATGTATCTTTGAATGTAAAGGCATCCAGAGGATTCCTGTCGGGTAGATGATGAATACTTCCGGGTCAGCTGGGTCAGTTAGTATGTGAAGCAGGCCGGAGGGATCGGGTTTAAGCTCGGGGGAATAAGAGAGGGTTTCTAAAGTACCACAGGCAAAACATGACAAACGCACGTTGAAGCTGCTCGGCGGGCTATCGGATGTTGGACGGAAACTTTCTCCTCTAATGTTTGAGTAAGGTTTGTCTCCGGTGGGATGGGGTTACAATTGGGCCGTAATGTTTATTGATTGGACCTTCTGTCATTAAACATTGAGGAGAAGGCTGTTAGATGGATCACATAAGAAGAGCTGCCAAAGGGAGGCATGGGAACCGAAAAGCCCCCCCTCCCCTCAGAATCCCTCCCCGCTTCTGCCCCTGTGTTATTTCACCCTAATTGTACAAATACAATTCTTCTCTTTTTAGCTTTCACATCTGTCTGTCTCTGTCTGTCTCTCTCTTAGTCACATGACAGCAAAGTGCTTCTATGCACATCTCAGGCTGACGGCTATAAGAGGTGATGCAGCTGTTAAAGATGAACCTGGCGCTGTCAACCAGCGTTTGCTGTCTCCACTCAGTGGGATGGAGTTCGGCCCGGAGCCCGGACACCTCCACGTCCGACCGTAAAAGATCATTAGCAACGCAGTGATAGTCATCCGTTAAGTACAATTAACACCTACTGTGTATCTATTAACGCTTTGCTCTATTTTCCATTAATGGTATTTTATTTCTTCTCTTTTTTCCCCCTATTTATTTCCCCTTTCTCCATTTAATGTTTTTTTTCTGAGGTTCATATTTAATATTGCATATTAAAAGCAGTCATTCAGTGAATCTCAAAAGACATTCCAAAAACATTGAAATCTGTTCACGCTGCTGCGCATCTTACTGTAGAAGACAGACGGCGGGTCATGGAAAAAGGAGTAGGAGGTGAAGAAGAGCAGGTAGGTGCTGTATGACCACGACATGGTGTAGAAGACCAGCTTCCACGCACTCTCCGGCATCTTGGCAGCATCTTTGGGCAGCAGCCTGCACCACTGTGCTAGAGGCTGCAGGGGCGGAGCAGAGGAGACGCACACAGTCACACGGAGGTTGAGGAAGTCACCAGATGAATTCAGCCGCCTCTTCACACGTGCGAAGGCCCTTTGTGCACCATTACTGGTTTGTTTAGATGGTGTCCTTTTACGGAATGGTGAACGCCAATTTACAGCTCTTAATCCAATATACGCGCACGGATTCCGTGCGGTCCGTTAATGCAGTGTTGTGGCTTCGGAGCCGAGAGCCTTTGGTCTCTTTTGTTTCAGTGGGAAGAAGCGTTTGTGTTGTTCCATGATGTAAAGGCTGAGGGTTTGTTTGCAAAGGCTTGAATATTTTAGTGTGTGATCGTAATTGTTGCAACAATTGTAAGCACATTTTTCTGAACTAATAAACACAGACTGCAGAAAACAAATGGCCGTAAGAATGAAGACGTCAAGAGTGCATTGTTTTTATAATAAATAGTTACAACAACTATGCATCACTTCAAATACGCTTCCATCACTGTGCACACACTTTAAACCAATTTGTCTCAGGCTGATTAGATCTGTTGGCGAGTCCTATGCACGTTAGGAGAATAACATGATTCTCAGAAGCAACCCGTATGCATACGCTCTCTTCCTCTCTTTGTGTCGCTCTCGTCACACACACGCGTACAGCATCATCACCATGTGGCCATCGTCCCCGGTCCCACGTCTGCTTTTGGTTTGGTACGCAAGCAGAAATAAGAGGAAGCAGAAAAAGAAGGCCCCCGACATCCTGATAGCCGCCTGATAACATGAAAACTCCACCTAGTCACTGGTGGAGCTGTGTCATCTACCCACCCCCTACTTGTCACCTCCCTTATCTTGCTGCTCCCTCACTCCCCACCTTCTGCCTCCCATTTTCTCCCTTTCTTCAGCCTATTATGTAGCGGCAGAAACGCCGCCATAGGTGAGACAGGTGCATCAGCTAAGTAGTGAGACGGACAGGTGTTCAGTGTGTCTTTGCCCTGCCAAGACAGGAAACCAAACCCCCCCCCACACACAACTTTGGAAGGCAATGAAATGGTGTAACAGGAGGCAGGAAAGTGAAAGTTGCCGGGGTCAGTGATACAGTCCGTTGTTACTAAGCAGCCAGCCTCCAGCATGTGATACGACAGGGTTTAGTGACCGACTGCATGACAAACTAACAGACAGTTGCCTTCTCAAAAAAGTCAACAAAAAAAAGGTGACACATGTTACAGTTTTTCATTATAAGATAAGATAGCTTATCTTGTTACATTGATCTGACATTCTTTCTGCCTCACTCTACTGGTCCTGTCCCTCCCTCTGCCGCTTCCTGCGCTTGAGTCACTGCGTCGCACAGTTAAAACGAGACAGGGCAGGAAGCTGAGGGGGCAACACTGATGTGAGATAAAAATGCAGCGGCAGAAAAACTCCTCATGTCACGACACACGTAATCGCCGACGCGGCTGCTGATTGGCCGAGACCGCGGGGACATGTGGTACGTGCCTGGAAATTCATGACCGGGGTCTCAGGACACTCAGTACATCTCTGTTAGCCCTCCCTCCCTCTGCCTCCCATCCTCTTCCTCCCCCCTCCCCCTTTATTTCTTGCTCTTCCCAGCTCACTCGCTCTGTCTTTCCCTTCCCCTGTGTCTCCCCCCTGCCTGCAACATTTATTTGTGGAGGCCAGCTGTCAGCACACGCCCCCCCCCCCATCGTCTTCCACCACATCACCCCCTCCAGTAGACAACAACGTACCTACGCACACTCACGCAGGCTGAGTCACACTAGCGGCGCATAGAGGTTACTGCAGGGACACCAGCCACGACGCAGCAGCTACTAGGTTACTCAGGTAATCCCTTACTAATGCCCCCATATCCATATCTATTCTATCCGACTCTATGTTCTTCTTCCCTTTCACTCCTGCTGGTATCACTAAAACGCCGTCCGTGCCAAATTTGACAGTGTCATTGTTGTGGGCGATTACGGCGATTAATAAGGTAGATTACATCTTAGCTCTGTCGTTTATCCATATAACTGCATATCACTGTATGTGGCAATAACACAAGAATAACGGACCCGATAACGCCGCGGGGTTGTCGGGTCCGTCCGCGCAGTAACACACACCGCTCTTTTGGTGTCTGATGAGCTTTCAAACTCATGGATCCGTTACTCAAACTGCAGTCCCAGGATCGCATTTCCTCTACGAATCTGTAGGCACATGCATTTTTTAATGGTGCTGGTCCCGAGTTATCACCCAGCGTACACTACAGAGCTAACACGTCAAATTGTACCGTTTAAAACTTGTTGCTAACACTTGTTTAGAACAGTTAATACTTCCCACAAAACCTTTTCTTGTGGAGAAAAAACAGTGGCGCGACCCGACAATATGTGTTAGCCGTCTTTGAGGTCACTCACTGGCATTTGTTGGGGAAATTGTTTCTACTTATTGACTGATTTTGGACAAAGCTGGTACTCTGGCCATGGCCCCTAAACCAGCATAATCACACAACAGTGACAATTCTTTTTGTTTTAAATGCAGATTTTGGGTGATTGTGTAACACACTGCCAATAGCTCCATCATAGTTGCTCTGTAGTAGGTTCTGCCCACCCACTCCATAACCGGCCCTTTAGTTTTCTGTGCCAGCCTACGAAGGACTGTAGTGGATCAAGGACACTGAGATAATCCACTCGTCCTCTGACGTATAAATGACAGGGCCTTGAATTACACTCAGCTGGGACCTGCGACCATTCAACAGCTTCTCCCTTTCTCTCTCTCTCTCTCTCTCTGAAATACTCCTAACCGGTCTTCTTGCTACAGAGAAGGAAACGGAAGAAAACCAGAGAGCGTGTACGACAGGAAAGGGACGATGACAAATAAATGGTTCTCATGGCAACCATGCAGGGATGCTGGCAGAGACCTGCAGTGTGGCATCTCTCTCTCCTGCACTACAGCCCTCCCTCGTCCGCTCTTTTCCCTGTCAGACTGCAGCTGCACCCTATCGCCCTCCATTTCCCCCTCCGCTGTAACAGTTCTCAGCCCCCCCCCCCCCCGTCAGCCCTTCCCCAAAGCAAGTGATGAGAGAGGGTGAATGGACTCTACTGGCCTGTTGCGTAACGAGATAACGACAACGGGGGCCAGTGAGTGAGGACGCTGGTCCGTGTGAGGGCCTCTTCAACGAGGTCCAATCTTTCGTTGCCACTCTTCCAGACCTTCGATCTCTTTGGTTAATCTGCCGCCAGCGTGTCCGTCTCCGTGTCTCTTTGAATCCTTGATTCCCCCTGTTTTTTTACGTCTTTTACCAGACTTTGGACCAATAGGATTAACAAAGGATAATCCGATTGATGGCCAGAGTTTTAGACTATTTATTTGGGTTGAATAATTTACATCATCAGTGGTGTCCTTCTACACGTTTCTGTCATTTTATCTCCTTCATTACACATCTAGTGTACCCAAAGCAAAACAGAATATGTGTCTGCAGAGAGAGAATAATCTTGGATTTAACTAGGTATCCATGAAGAAAAACCTCCCCGTTCTTAATCCCACGTCAGCTGTTTAAATGTGTATGTGGCGCAATACAAGGAATTGACTACAGACGTTCTATGACGCATCCAAGTGTCGTAGTAGAGACACTCGTTGATCTAATCACATCAAGAAGGAACAGACACACGTACAAATAAGAACATATGCGTGCACACAGAAATAATCTACAATGTACTTCACCCTTCAGGTGAAGGTACCAGATGGTTTAAATGATTGACAATGATTGAATCACAGCTCCAGATGGCCTCTGCTATGCTGGAATACTGGTGTTAAACCAAGAGCCTGGCTCAACTGGCTCAACCTCATTTGAATAAAAACACATGATTAGCGACTGAGCAAACTCATTTGCACAAACGTGACTGGACGTAGCAGATAGCGTCCACCAGTGAGTGAATTAATCTCAATTTATGACATGAGTGGCGTTTATGTCTGTGGCTACGGATTTTCATTTTGGATTATTTTTATTTACTCAATGGGACCAAGCAGCAGAAACACTAATAAAACTCCTCTTTGGGTTTATAAAATGAATCTCACAACAGTAAGCATTAGAAGCAGATAGAAAACATGCTCCCCGGGGAAAAATGCAATGTAAGTCACTTTGGAAAAAAGCTTCAGCTAAATGACCTGTAATGTAATATAATGTAACATGGAGTCAAAAGGCAAACATGAGGTAAGCAACATGAATATAGCAAAAACCTAAAATACTGTAGTGACAGTATGTCCGCGTTTACCTGTATACGTGCGTGTGTGTGCGTGTGTCTGCGAGTAAGTTATAGCTATGAACATAGTTCAGCTGGAAAAACACTTTAAATGCCATGACAAGCTAAGCACCGTGATGCAAAATGATATGATGCAAATACAAGTTACTGGGGCGAAGGCGGATTTTTGCTTAATTGCAAAACATCTTCAATCCTATGAAAAACAACATTTAAGCCATAGAAACTGCACTAAATCGATTGCTATGGCAACTGCTACTTACATTAACTTATCTGAGAATCATTTCTTATTTTAGGCTAACTAAAAGCCGCAGTGGTTTCAGTTCCTGTATAAATATATATAGATGTCTTGTGTGTGTGAGAGCCTAGATATGATTCCCCTCTAATGTTTCACAATGCGGAGATCCGAGAGCAGGAGTACCTGTACAAAGGAGGTATCGCCTCTTGGTTGATCCCAGTGGACAGTGGAGGTATTAATGACATAATTGGTTCTTTAACTACTGTAACCTCTGAAGCATTGTGGTAAAATAATTTCAAGAAATGAAGGTTAAATATACTACTACTATCACATATTCAGAGGAACATAGCAGCACGTTTTCTCCATAACATCGTCTTATATTACTTTCCTACAGAATTCAAATATTATGAAGCATAAAAGGTCTTTATCTAATTTAGTTCTGATCTTTGGCACTGCAAAGGAAGTCATCAACTAATTATGCTGTGTGAGCCTTACAAATAACACATATTGTTTATACTCCTTAAATGAGA